CCCCAAAACCCCAAAACCCCAAAACCCCAAAACCCCTGAGATCAAATAAGCTATTGAAGATAGATTATTATTCGCAAATTTTCTTCTTCAGAAAATTTTTGAACTTTATGATAATAGCTTGTGGATTATGGGCATACTCATGCAGCTTTATGAACTTATGAAGCCCTGTCTTCTGTACACTCTTCTTCAGATCTTTCTTTTTCATTTGAATACCCTGAAAGGTTGCATTGATAAGTGATAGAGGGAGAGCTGTTTTGATGAGAACAGATAAGATTCCAATAGCATTCTTTATTTCGGCCTGTTCTACTTGATCTGGAGGGCAAGATAAAAATGGATTGCTAAAACAAATTTCCTTAGTTGCTGGGATAGTGTTTAAAGTCGGTCTTAATTTCTCACCGGTGACATTTAGATTACACCCCATAAAATGTATCACAGGAATATGATAACTAGCAGATATCAGCAGGTAGAACTCTTTTGTTTCTAAATGAAAGCATGAAATTTCAAGCAGCTGTGTTACCTTTGCCAAGCATTTGCTTAGAGGTTGAACCATACTTCGAGGAATCGATATTGAGATATCACTCTCTAATATAAGATCTTTTATTTTATAGGGCAAGCAACTCTCCATATAGTTGTAAAACTGTTTCTTGCTTCAGAAAGATGGGAGACTAGGGTGGGAGTAAACATTAAATAAATAATCATCAATGCAAACCTCAATGGTTGATAGCTGCTGAGATTTAACATTTTGAGAAATATGATGAATTTTTCTCATGAATTTGCAGCATTGATAAGAAGATCTTAAAAATTTCGCACAGTGAGTACGCCTTTGCTTCTTTCTTCTCACATATCCCATCAACTGGTAATATGTAAGGTCAAAGTTGCCATATAAGAAATCCAATTGTTTTGAAATATATCTTTCTCTTTTAATTTTCATTCCTTTAAGAACTCTGTCTTCTTGATGAATAGATGATTCCATTTTTAATTATATAAGTCTATATATTTCAAATATATATCCTCCGTTCGGGGTTTTGGGGTTTTGGGGTTTTGGGGTTTTGGGG